ATTTTTATTAACTTAGATACGTCGCTAACTACTTAATAAGCTATTAAATAAGCTCCTCGTATTAACGCCGTTTTTAGTTTTAATTTTTAATTATTATTTTTATCGTTTTATAAAAATAGGTTATTATTAAGCTTATAGGGTTTACTAAACTAGCTATCCTAATACTATCTACGCCTTTATATATACTTTAATTTTATATATTTAGTAATCGGTTATTAATAAACGCCCCGTTTATAACGAATAGGGTCCTCGGGGTATTAATAAAGTAATTAGTTTATAAGGGTAATCTACTCCGATTATCTTCTTTATTTAGCTCTTTTATAAATATTAGTATTTAAGTAGGACTTGCTTTATAATAAGCTCGTTCTCTTAAATAAAATAGGGTTAAGTAGTTAACTCTAGATAGCTATAGCTCGTTAGTACTAACGGCTCTTTATTAATAGCTAAGTATTATTTTATTAACGTTCCGTTCGTTTTTATAATCTATTATTACTTATACTAGTTATTCTATAGAAGTAAAAGCTTTAGAATTATAAAAAATTAGGCTATAAGTACTTAATTAGTAAGGCTATAATATAAATATAAGTATATTATAAAACTAAAGCTTATAGAGTCTTTTATAAGGGCTCTACTTCTTAAAAAGTTTTTTTATAATACGAACCGTATACCGTTTACTAAGTTATTAGCGTCTTATTACTAGCCGTATCCTAAATCCATTATACTTAAGCTCTTATTATTAATATTAAACGGGCTCGAGTTTAGTATTAAGCTAAGTAATCTCTATTTTAGTAACCTTTTTTTTAATAATAGTCTTAGGAATTTAATAATAATACGGCCTTTTTTTTTTTATATATATAAAAAAGTCCTAAAATATAAATTTAGAATAACCTTTTTACCTCTCTTATATATACTATTTAATATAGGCCTTATCTAAGTAGTACTAGAGTTTATAACTACTACGGTAATAATTAAAAGTAATTACGGTCTTATTTAACTATATAACCCGTTTTTAATTATTAAAGGTCTAGTACTAATAATCGAAGTATTACTTAAGTCGCTCTTATTATATTTTTTTTATTAAGCCTAGCTTATAAATTAGTTTAGTTTTATAAAAGCCGTAGTAATAAAGGATTTACTAAATAATTATTATTAATATATTAATACTATCGTTTTTTATAAAGTTTTTAATAATATTAGTATAGTTCTTTTTATAGCTATATTAATCGTAATAAACTTTATAAATAATAATATTATTAACCTCTTTAGTTTATTTAGTTAAGTAGCTACTTCGGGGGGTATTTTTATAATAAATAAGTTAAATTAAAAAAGTAGGAGTAGCTAAGTTAAATCCGTTCTTTTTTATATAAGTAAGAACGTTAAAAACGGTACGGATTAAAAATCTTAAAGCTTAAGATATTTATTTAGTAATTTACTTAATTATATAACTTTATAGAGCTAAAATTACTATCTTAATACTTAGATCTAGCTTCTTTTTTATTAGTATCTTAGGATCTATACTAAGGGAAAAAAAAGGGCTCTAGAAGTAGTAATTTAGCGAGTTTAGTAATTTTAATATTCTTATAAGCCTTATAATAATCGTAATAATAGTATATAAGTTAAAGTAGTTATTATAAGTAGTACTAAGGTAAAAAGTAACTAAAGTAGGTTAAAAATAATCCGTAGCCTCTGATTAGTCGAAATTAGTCGTAATTATGGGTCTAGGTCTTAGTAGTAACTATAAGGACTATTAAGACGTACCTCCGTAGGTGATCACCCTTGCGGACTACATAACCCGCGGGATTCGATTTCCGACAACACGCATACTAAATGGGACCTCTTAAGGAAGGGTTCATCCCCCAGCATTTCTATGGGCTCTGAATGCGATGAGAAGCTTCTACGAGGCGCCTTGGTCAACTTCCGACAAAGATCAACCAAATGTGAGTTTTGCTAGGAGTGAGTTGCCCTGTTGGAGAATCCCGCGGGTTTCTGTCCAATGCGGCGGTGTCAGACACCACCAACAACGAATCAGGGAATTTCAGGCACGAGGGTGCCAAGGACTATCCCTACTCCGATCCCTCTCGCTCCCGAATAAGTAATTTCCCGACTTGCTGCTTTCGATTTCGTAGGCCTTCCAACGTGGAATCATGGGTATACAATCTGTTCGAGTTACAATTGGTAGACGTGGGCGATGATGGGGTCGACTGGGGCTTTGAAGATGGATCATTCGGCCAAACGCCAACCAGCTGAGAGCTCAGGCTCTCGCTAATTGACATTTATGTGCTGACTGAAAAGGGAATTTGAAACTACGTCATTCATTAACCAGGGCGCATTTGATTGTGGATTGCGATACTGCGATTAGAACGCGCGTGAAGACCAAAGAAATAGATCGAAGCCGAGTCAATTATTAACTCACTGGCCCCGTGACCCCAGAACCCACCCGATATCATGACAAGGGCGAGATAATGACGAAGAACCACGTTTGTTTTCACTATCAAACGTGTCTAATTCGAGCACACATGCCCCCCACGCAACTATGAACATGCAAGATTTTGAAACATCGTCAATTCATCAAAGTAAAGTAGCTCTAATGTCGTCACCAAACATCAACGCGCCTACGTTCCCATCCACTACATAAGACGCACGATTCTATGCTCATTTTACTCCATCTCGATCTCTACAGCTTAGCACTATCAATGCGCTTGCCTGACTCATCGAAATCAATCTTCTTCCCAGTGATCAAACTCTCCTGCAGCGCGCAACCAATCTTGACGGCGTTGACAGCACCGGCGAGTTTCATGGGCGGCTCGGTGTTGTTCAAACAGCATGCCGTAAACTCGTTTGCTTCGGTGATGAAGGCCTCGCGGAAGCGGCCGTAGTAGTCGGGAGGGATCTCGCGACGGATACCTGTGGGCTCGTAGAGGTTGACGAGGTTTAGCTGGGGCTGTGTGTTGACGGCGACCTTGCCGCTTGTGCCAAAGATCTCGGTCGTGTCTTCTTGGCCGGCGGCCATCATGCGGGAGCAGAAGAGTTGCGCAATCTTTCCACCCTGTAGTCGCATATGATTAGCTTATGTTCCATCTACCGCAAAGTCTAAGATTATCGGGAGAACTTACGTAGAACTCAACGACAGCGACGGCGTTATCCCTATCATTATGCTTTCTCAGACCCTCTTGCACAGCTGTGATACCAATAGCAGACACGCTCTTGACGACGCTATCCTCGCCGAAGAACCAAAGCGCTAGGTCAATGTCGTGAATAGAGCAATCGACAAAGATACCACCGCTGAACTCGGCGTAGTCGACGAAGAAGCCGGAGGGGTCGAGCTTATCGCAGGTCTGTGAGCGGAAGACGGAGGGCGCACCAATGTCGCCGCGAGCCACTCGTGTGAAGGCGTCTCGGTAGGATGCATCGAACCGGCGTGAGAATCCGCAGATGACCTTTTGGCTGGGGTTCTTGATGAGGGACTTTTCGTACGCCGTGACGACGGATTGCGACTGTGTGACAGATGGCAATTAGTCTCCTGACTCTGCTACTTTCAAGGGGTGGCATGGAGTGGATTCTAAGTATGAACGTACGATATCGACGCTTGTGCTAAGAGGCTTCTCGCACAGAACGTGTAGGCCCTTCTCGATGGCCTTAATGGCCTGCTCGGCGTGTACCGTGGTGGCGCTGGCGACGATCACAGCTTGCAGTGTCGATTCCTTGCGCAACATCTCGTCGTAGTCGAGGTACGTTCGCAGAGGGCCAAACTCTGCGACGGCGGCATCGAGTTCAGCTTGCACCGGCGAGCTGACGGCGATGAGGTCGGCCTTTGGTGTCAGGGTCGCAAAGTGTCTGGCGTGTCGCAAACCTATTTGATTCAATTGTGGTCAGCCCATGTAGGAGTCGCTCGAGCTCAGCACTAGAGCTTGCTTCTTCGCTGAGGTAGCTATGAGAGCTACCCCTCGGTGGAATGAGGGGCGAGACATACCCATGCGCCCGAGTCCGGCGACGGCAACGTTGAGCTTTTCTCCGGCCATGTTGTTTTGATTGCGAATATTTCAAGAATTGATGTGTTTTTGGGGTTCAAGAGAGTCAATTGAGTTTCAAATCTCGCAATTCGTCAAGGTACAGTATGGATAAGAGGTAGAGAGACCACAGCAATACAGCTCAACTCTCAAAGTCGAGGAGCTGTGGGTGAATACGGTCTCTTTTATCATCGGCGACTCCTGCTCTTCTTGGTTCCTTCTGGAAAGTCCCTATCAAGCCAAATGGACACGTCTGAACGACTCGTTCCAAGACACCGAACGCCATCCCAACGCCGGCGGGCAAGAGTCTCGTAGAGTCCTCCAACACCTTCGAAACTCGGCATCTCCATCGGCGCCTCTTACCGGATACGGTAATCAATCACTGTCGTCCCCAGATTTAGATCGCCTCCCCAGAGTTGGCGGCAACTTTGTGGGGGAAGAGGGCTTGAGGGTGCGGGGTAGTTTGAACACATAAGACCGGTTGGTCCTATTTTCTATGAAGAGTTACACCGCATGTTTTTGGGTATTTGTCTTTTGTGCTCTCCGAAGACCGAGGGCGCTTAATGCACGTTCATCTTTGTGGACTTGAGTTGTCTGTTTGCGCCGGCCACGTTTCACGGGACCAGACGGATGCATCGGCGAAGCCAAGTTTCTCCACACGTCTGAGATTACTTCTTCCAGCAAGCGTCGCCGATGCTCCGCTTCTTTCTTTCCATCCTCCTACTCTCTGTCCGCCTATCTTGGCCGTCGCCGACGATTTCAACTCCCCACACCTCCTGAACCACGGACCACAAACCAGGCGAGACTTGCCCTTCCGAGTTCGAAGAGGAAAACGACATAATATCCCCATCCCACCGGCCGGCGACAACAAGCAGGTGTCACTTTGTCAGATCAATTTTGGAGGGCCAGCAAGCTGTATCCGTAGCCGTGGTCAATCTGCGTCAGCAGTGCCCCGCGCTCATCCCCGCGGGAGATGCCAAGCGCCACGAAGCCATGTGCAAGATGCAAAGGTATGTGCCCGGGCGCGCGCGTGCGCGTGTCTCCATACCCTCGTGACCTTGTTCAGGGTTCCACTGGTCTGACGTCAACTTATCTGGGGTAAAACAGAGCGACATGAGAAGTGTAAGTTGCGTAGAGTTTTATTATCTGAAGCAGTGTTGCCGGGGTTGAGACTGGGGTTGTGATTCTTAGTCGGAAATGATCACAGTTCGCAACCTTTGGCAACTCATCTGAAGTCTATCTGGGTATCTGACAATGATTCGATACTTTAGGCGATGACCAGCAACCCCGTTGTAGTAGATGCGAGAAGCGCAACGTCGAGTGCTTCCGTCCTGAGCGACGACCTTCCTTCCGCCAGGGTTCTACTGCCAACTATGACGGGGCCTTCTCCCGGGAGCAGCGCTGGGTGAACAGTCGGCCTCGAGCTTGTAAGTCTTAGCTACCTAGAAGAGAGTTACCCTGGGGCGATGCCATCGATCTCGACATTCTGACTGGCGTATAAGTCCGATTCGACAGTCGAGCCCCGAACAGCACTCCTACGCTGACTCAGGAGAAGGACAGCAGCAACGACTCTCCTGCCAGTCATGAGCCATCATTGCCAGATACTCGGGTTGCTGCGAGTGCCATCTTACACGAAACTAGTCGAAATCTTTCCGAGGCACCGGTGCTCGTGAACCATGATAGGGGGGTCGAAGACACTCTACCACCAATACCGACGCCTACTAAACGTCGAAGAACCGAGCCTGCGCCGCAAGATGGTGGACACTTTTTTCCTGCTTCGCCAGCTGGGTCAGGAGCATCAGGGGCCTCTCCCTGGTCAAACACAGCTTTGTCAACTGGGAGAGTGCGATTGAGAGAAGACGATATATCAATTCACAGTCCTCATGCCGTACCTCAAAGCGTCGACCACTTTTCTCCTTCCGCCGGAAGTTACCACACCACGACCCAAGACCATGATCTCGTGGGGAATATACCAAATGCTCCACTACCCGAGGGCATCCAAGAAGCTTGCCTACTGCGGTACTTCGTAGAAGAGCTATCTCAATGGGTTACGTGCCACACAGTTGCAACGGTACCTAAGAAAGTACAATCGTTAACCTTTTCTCGCGTGTAGTTCGACCTCTGCGACGAAGAGAGGCACTTCCAGCTCGTCGTTGTGAGACGCGCACGCTCGTGCCAACCCCTCCGCGACGCCATATTCGCCGTCGCGGCGCGCCATTTATGTCGACATCCCAAATTCCGATCAGAGCCAGGGGGTGGCGGTGTCGTCGTCTACCAGCGCCAGCTTCTCCCTGACCTCACGCCGCAGAGTGCCTTCGAGTATATGCTCCGCTGCATACCCGCACTGCACGAGGTCTCAAGCACGCAGGACGAGGAATACCGCGAGAATCTGGCCGCCGCAGCGCTCATTCTTCGCCAGTTTGAGGAGATGGATCCCGAAGAATCCCAAAGCGCGCCGAGTTCAGATTTTGGGACCGCAAACGGGGACGGGAATGGGACAAGTTATGGCAATGCGAATAGCAATGTCAACTTTATCGATATCACAAAGGCAATTTTGAGGGCCGCTCCATCATCGCGATGGTCTGGACTTTTGAGCGCCGTGTACTGGGTGGCGGTGAGGCAGGAGATTTACTTTGCGCTCACGCTGGGGCGATCGCCCCAGATCACGGCAAGGCCGGACCAGGGCCGTGAAGTGTCGTTTGCTAATCGGTTGATATGGTTTATGTCGGAGGTGGCCAAGTGGAAGATGGGAGACAGGATCGAAGGGGAGTGGGGTGAGTCTTTCACTTGTGCTTTTCTGAGAGACCGCAAAACGTCTGGGGCCGAGCTTTACTCCATTACGATGACTGACGTATACCGCCCAGAGAGACTGAGGGTTGAAGAGAGCATCCTTGCAGTCGAATGTACGCGGCAGTTTATACCCATAATGCAGAGGCCAGCGGACAGGTCTCAAGCCGAAATATTCCCCTTGGTCTGGTACGGTTCCGATGTGGAAGTTACTGCGCTACAGCATTTTATCTTGGCAAGGATGATTCTCCTAGCCGAAGATCCTAGTCTACAGTATGCAGACGCTTCCCTGCCTCTCAAAATAGATAGCTACTTTACACTACGCTTCTATGAATCCTTCATGCTTTTTGAGGATTATGCTGACAACTTTGGGCTTCCAGTGGACAAGTCTCCAACCGGCGAGCACATCGAGAGGCCGAACATCAAGTCCGAGAAATGACATTAGAGCTATGTGGTCTAGCTATGCATCATCTAAGAGCACCGCCAAACTTGACCACTGCAGGGATAGGGATCATGTTATACGGGGACTATTTCAACGACCAGTGGGAGAGAGCGGCATTGGTTGGAGTGCTGGAAGAGTGGAAGAGCCATCACGCTTGGCCTGTGAGAAAGGGGTACCAAGCACTCGGTGTGGACTACGTCCCATAAATGTTACAATCAAGAAACCTCTGCACGTATATCGTACACAGAGACAGCGACTGTATCTGTCGAGTGACTCTATGATACCTGTGTCGAATGAGTGAACGATAAGCTGAATTCGGCGTCCTACTTGTCTCATAGGTAGTTTAGCTGCATGAAAGCATCTATTCCAAGGTTGACATTTGCGTTGGATTGGTACTTCCGCGCCATTGACATCAAAATACAGGCGAGACTTTTCTAGATGCTGGGAACGACATCGACAGTCCTAATTAATCAGACAGAATTCGAAAGTCGAGTCAGTCATGGCCCAGGCTTTCAATGTCAGTGATCTTCACCTAGCGCATTCGTAAAGTTGCGGATCAAGCCAAGACAATAGCTTGAGGGCAACAAAGACTGGAAACATCGATTATTCGACCGGGTAAGCCCGAAAGATCTGCAATGCGCAGTTAGATCCAACATCACTCAAGGTACATAAGGTATGCGACTTCACGGTTGAAGCCACAGCGCCACTTGCGGACCTCGATGGCAGGCAGTCAGCAGTACAGTCATCTTTCTCTCATGGCAAGCTTGAAAAAGCATCTCAATTCAAGTGCTGGGTGGGCACTACACTGTTTTATTAAAACTGTATTCTTGTACTTGTGACTCAGAAAGAATTAACTTTCTTCGATAACAAGGTACTCAGAAGGTATGCGACTTCCACAGGGATGTTGACGATCGACGTGTTGACGATGTTTGGTGCCTGACGGAAGGAAAGCTGCCAAAAACCAACTGCACTGCGTTGTCCCGATACCTCGGCTCAAGAGTCTCGTTACCCCGGTCCGGACCTACCTACTCCTGTGGTGTGACGGGCATCGCATGATCCCAAGGGCGGCATCGTGAGGTTACGCCATTTGCGGGTCTGATTGCCAATTGGGCCCAAAGAGACACGTTTAAACGAATTTCTACCAAATCCTTCATGAAACCTTAGGCCTTGGAAGTTGCAGTTCAAGAACCCAAACTGTCAGTTGCACGTGTACTCCATACTTGTGAAGTTTTTCAATTTTGCTGATCCCCGGCAGGATCCGAAGAACAGTCGACCTCATTGGCGCGCGTCTTTAAGCTTCGGCAATCACCCATAAACATGGCTGGGATATCCCCACACAAATCCCCAGATCTCAACGGCAATGAACTAAGACGCGGGGAATGTAACACTGCCCTCGGCGAGCTTTTGACCGATGTGACGGCCTTTCTATGAGGTCACATTGCTGTCTGCGAAAACAAAACACACCATACGCGCCAATGATCACGGTGTCGGACCTGCATGTGCTGTCAGCTAACCCCAACACGGCCAACCTACCGTCTTGGGGGTGGATTACCATCACTCGTTTACGAGTCACGAAATCAAGGAAAGCTTTCCTCCGAGCTTGCGAAGCTATTGATGATGATCAGGTTGACATTGTCTTGGCGTTGACATCGTATCCCCTCACTCGAAGCTCAATGTGGGCGGCGTATATAACATACCCCGCTGCTCGAGCAATGCCGTCTCTCGTCCTCCTTCAAGGCACCTGACTCTCTCGCCGTCGGCCTCGTCATCTCTCAAATTTTCCACGAGATTAGTGTTCGGAAAAACACATCATGAAGTTCCTCGGAGCCGCCGTTGCTGGTATTGCCAGTCTGCTCTCCTACCAGGCTGTCGCGAGCCCCGTCCCAACCCCAGTCGAGGCCCGTCAAGCTACCGGAACCATCTCGAACAATGTCATCTTCTCCCCGCCGTCAAACGCTGGCTGGGTTGACCCCCGCGTCCTGTACGCTCGCACCATCCAGCTGGACTCGGGCGACCTGATCGCCACCTGGGAGAACTACTCCCCCGAGCCTCCCATCGTCTATTTCCCCGTCTACCGCTCTCAAGACGGCGGAGCCACCTGGGCTGAGATCGGCCGTGTTCAGGACACCGTCAATGGCTGGGGTCTGCGCTACCAGCCCTTCCTCTACGAGCTTCCGGAGGCGTTCGCTGGTTATCCCGCCGGCACTATCTTGCTCGCTGGTAACAGCATCCCGACGGATCTGAGCTTGACCAAGATCGATGTCTACGTCAGCACCGATGGCGGTGCCAACTGGGAGTTCCTCAGCAGTGTTGCCAGCGGAGGCGAGGCCCTGCCCAACAACGGCCTGACCCCCGTCTGGGAGCCTCACTTCTTGTAAGTCTGAGTCTAGCTTCACGAAACGTTCATCTTAGGGTAATTGCTAACCACTTCCTCCTCACGCAGGCTCCACAACGGCGAGCTCATCATCTACTACGCCGACCAGCGCGACACGAAGTACGGCCAGAAGCTGTCTCACCAGACCACCACCGACCTCAAGACCTGGAGCGCCATCGTCGACGATGTCCACGATGACAACGCCTACGAGGCACGCCCTGGCATGCCCGTCATCGCTAAGCTGCCCAACGACGACTTCATTTTCGCCTACGAGGTCTGCGGCACCGATGGCTGCCGCGTACACTACCGCCTCACGGCCGACCCGCTCAACATCCTCGCCGCCCCCAGCATCTCGCTTATCTCCACCTCCGGCACCCGCCCCGTTAGCTCCCCCTACGTTGTCTGGTCCCCTGTCGGTGGCGTCAACGGTACCATCGTGCTCAGCGGCGGCAGCCAGTCGAACATCTTCGTCAACCGGGCTCTGGGTGATGCTAGCGCTTGGGTCGAGTATGCTGTTCCTCAACCCAATGCTTACTCTCGTGCTCTGGCGGTGCTTGATGATGGTAGCAAGTTGGCTATTATTGGCGGTGGAAGATTGCCTCCTAGCAGCACCAACCAGGTTAGCATTAGTGTTGTTGATCTCAATGCATTGCTTGGATTGTAGACATATGTAGCCAAAGGAATGTGACAGTAATTCGAGAGACTTAAGATTGAAGATTGAAGATACAGATTAACAATAGCCATATCAACGCGCACAGCTTCCTACTCTCTGGGGATAGCTTCGATTACAGCCACACGTGCGGTCATCAGCTATGCACAAAGTCCTTGTTCCGTACCAAATTCATGTAGCACAATATTGAATGATCATACCAATGAGTGAGGCCATGGTCATAGCACGTACGACATTGCCCAGTGGCGCAGTTATCGCATGCGATAGACGCTAACCTCTCCCATTCAGGGCTGCATCAGGTGTCGATTTCCGCCCGGGATGTGAAGCGGGCAAACACAAGTGCGCAACCAAGAAGTACATACTAAAGTAGCACACAACCAGCTACTGTTCGCATAACTCCAGAGTTGGATGGCCCCCAACAGTCCTCACGACGTTGCTTGCCGTACAGTTCCACCAGAAACCGACGCCCTGATGGAATTTTACAACTCTTGGAGCATTATATAGCCAAGGTAGACTTCATGGAAGTTCAATACTAGTCTTTGATGAGCCAGGTTTTCCGCTCTTAGAGAAGAGACATTAGCCCTCGGTGCTTGATAAAAAGGCCGGGTTGCGTGTTAGATGTCTGAATGAGGCATCAGTGCAGTGAGAAAATTGGTTGCCTCGTCGTCTCAGTGCATGGTTGTTTCAAGAGTTCCGGGGTGTGTAAGGAGGCTAATGGCCTGACTTCAAGATATGAATTTTCGTAAGGTAGTGAAAGAAAACAAAAACCGTAGGAGGGTTTAAGAAGGATTTGAATGATTATTACAAAAGGTTGATGTTCCTTAAGGTCTATTTTCATCACAACAACTAATGAGACTACTTTGGCTAAAGAAGTGGCTATATATCAGTAGTTGCTGCTGATTGGACTCATCATTATTCTCCATAGGAGATGTTGTGTAGAATTACATGGCTACCAATGGCTATCATGTTTGGCCGGAGAAACTGGAAACAAGACTTAATCGAGACTTCGAAGAACTTCGATATAAGAAAAGCGATGATATCTAAAGCAGCGAAGTGCGAGGCATGATAATATGCACTTCGAGAAACAAAAGCGTCATATAGTTGCTGTCTTGAATTTGAAATGCGATCTCCAATATAACTACTTCGATGATGGGATACGCTGGCAAGGCAACGTGGCGCATGAAATACTGCCTCTCTAAGGATTTGCGCTCCATCTTAGTGCAGGAGGGTGTGTCACCCTCATCGGAACCGGGTGGTCAGCCTGCATCACATATGCGAGGCCGGCTGGCCTGCCTTCTGATAAATAAGTGCTTGGCCCAGACGCAGCGCTCTTTTGCGGCAAGCAACGTGACACTGAATATCCCCTTTAGCTCCATCCCGACACCCGCCCCAAACTGGCCTTTGGAAGGCATTTCACACGGCTGACAACATGACCTGCGAAAGCGGTTTCGAAGGAAATAGCGACATCTATGGCTTGGGCGTAAGGATCGGCGTTTACCTCCAATGGTGTACATCGATACTGGCTCAGAATTTCTATGAGCCTGCTGTCGAAGGGATGCAGGACGCCAACAGCACGTACCAGCTGGCCATGACATGCGGCTTCATGTTCATTACCAGTAGACCGAGCGAGGGGCTCAAAACAATTGAAGGTTACATTGCCCTGCTTTTTTGTTTTGCTGGTGCCTGCATTTCCTCCTTGCAGAATCGATCGGCCTTCTCCACCGTCCTGTCGAAAAATGGTGTCGGAGAACCTCCACGACGTCGTGTTCGAACCGCAGGCGATATGCTTCTCAACGCTATCATTTCTTCATACGGCATATGGTTTTTGTTCATCGGCATTGGGAAGCTCGAGCGCACCGTATGCCAGGAAAGGGCGTTCTTCTTCACGTCTGTGGCTTTATTTGGGTGGTTTCGGTTCTTCCTCAGCGCAGGCTTCATCTTGGGTCTTCTAGTGTCAACACTCTTGCTAGTCGCCCAGGCGATAATACTCATAAGCTGGGTTTCCAATAGTCTCGACAACAACATCAACATGAATCAACGTATCTTTGGCGGCGTGAACGACCCAACGCCTAATTCGACTCGCCAGAATCAGCGGGTAGATGTGACTATCTCTACAGGGCAGCTTTTTGGAAGCATGCTTGCGCTTGGACTGTTTATTGCGGCGGTGGAAGAGACTTTGGATTGGAACAACATTTCGGGTGTTCACCAGTGTGCTGATTTCAGCCAACTGTTTCCGCTGATGATAGGAGCCACAAACTTCGCTCGCGTCGCGGCACAGTTTCTCCTGGATCATGGGAAAGGAAAAATTGCATTGAAGTGGGCAAAATGAAGGTTTAGTGGTTGACAGAACAAGACCGTCAAAATTGACCGGCATGACTACGAACAATACCATGGAGCATTTGAAGCTGATGCCGGTGCGCTGTACGCGAAGTGCGTGAAAAAGTCTTGCGGTTCAGTCCTCTCTTTTGGTCAGATCTTCGGCCGTCATTTCCACCCGATAAGCTCAAGAAGTATTCCATTCTTATCTGCACTCCGGTTGTCTGCTTGTTCAACAGCGGCAAGGTTTCCAGCCATGTGGTCCTTGTCGGTAGTGCCATCGAGAACACAGATGTTCCAGCCGGATGCTGTTGTTTCTTCGACCATCTGCTGTAGTAGAGCTTCGTGGGCGCTGATGTGCTTTCTCTGGGCCCTGTACTGCACCGGCAGGCTGTCCAACAGCCATGAATTGCTAGCGTCAAAGATGCCAAATAATTGATAGACAATGCCTTCCTCCTTGCAGATGACGGCCACATCATGATCGTATCCTGTCTCTTTGCGAAACCAGTTCTGCACAAATGCTGGTTTTATACGCGAGTTCTTGAGTACTGAGCGCAGTTTTTGCGGCTTGACGTTCGAAAGGCCGAGATATCGGATGCCCCCCCGGTCCACAACTTGCTCCAGAGCGAGCCAGATTTCCATGATTGTTCTAGTGGGGGTCCTCGAGGCGTTGACGAAGTAACAGTCAATGCTATCTACTTTCAGTCGAGTCGAGCTTCCCATGACACTTTCCAAAGCGAGGATAGCAGGTGCCTCAGTGTTTGGCTGCTCCTGGCCTGTACTCCTCAGATGAGCAGACTTCGGGATTGGAATGTACTTTGATTGAAGGAAAAGATCACCTCGTCCGACCGAATCTTGCTCATTTGTCTGTGCAAGAAGGAAAGCCGATGTGGCCTGACCATCAAGTGTCTCGTCATGATGTATAGTGCCAGCTGCAGTATCGATGCCTCGATATCCCACGCTGAGTGCGGTCCCAATATCAGGACATGGTTTGTGTCGTCTTCTTGCCGTACCATACAATATTTGCGGTAACGGGTTTCCGTTGATTAAGGTCGGAGACATAGGAACTTGATCCAAATGTTGGAAAACTTCAATGTGAGTGGATCGTTTGTCGGATCCCTTAAAACGCTTTTGTACGTATCCACCGGGCCCGGATGGAGTGCCGTCAGTTAAAGATTGAACAAAATACGCAGCTGGTACAGAGGAGGGGCTCGGGTGTATTTTTCAAGGTCATATACATAGACAATGCCAACAAGAAACCCCTTGTGCTTAGCCTTGTACGGCGCACCAAGGCCCCCTGTAGCAGAACTGGGCGTTGGTTCAGTGCTGTGGTACCGGTACGTGTGAGTGACATGGGCCTACTGCTCACTCCTTGCTTACCCACCCCCTCCATCATGTAGAGTCAACATTTATGTCACTCACTTTGCATGAAATATTTGATTTAAGGGTGGGTGGACTAGGGTGACAGACGTTGTTGGGTCTTCAATATGATAACAGGAAACCTGGCTTTCCGCATGCATGGAAGGAAATAGAAATCAATAAGCACTACACCAGCGTCCACCAAGAGGGAGCTTGTTCTTCTCCAGAAGCTCGAGCCTAGCCTCATTCTTGCCGTCGTCTGCGTACTTTTCCTGAATCTCCTTCTCCAGCATCATCCAATCTGGTTCGTTGTCTTCCACCGTCGTTGTATCCGAAAGAGTGAGATCTCCTACAGCTAAGGTATCTGTGTCGCTTTCGGAGTTTTCCCAATCATCGACAAATCGAACCGTGATCTCATCGCTCTCGCCCTGCAAAATACTAGCGTCGGTTGTCCAGTGGAACAAGTCGCTGCCAGTATTGAGATGAGGCCCAAAACCGTTGAACTCGATGACCTTGGCATCCCACCTAATACTATCCTGACTCGGCGGGGTCACCAAAACATCCATGGTGCAGGTGTCAAAGGGAATGTGGCCTTTGACGTTATTCCATACATCAACCACGGCTTCCACGAGGCCATCCGAGTAGCGCTCACGCCATCCTTTCTTTTCCCACCAAATATCTTGACTGACAGCAGTGACTTTCCCCTTGTAGCAGAAGACACGGAGCTCATGTTCAAGCCTGATTTCCGGTGACCATCGCTCGACTACCAAGGCCTCACCTGGGTCTTCGCTCCAGACTCCGTCCGCAAGAGCCAGCAGTCGGCCAGCAACCCTACCACTTGTGAGAAGACGGCCGAGAACAACTTCAGCGGTGGGCGGAAGAGGATCCGGCTTGGCAGTAGGTGCTCCGTTTGCGAAGCTGTCCTTGGCTGATGTCGCACTGAGTCTGATGAAGATAGGGTCCTTGCACACCTTGGTAGCGTCGTCCAAAATAGACTGAATACTGGCAACAACGAACTTCCCTTCTGGCGTGCCGAGAGCAATCCTCATATTGGAGTTGAGCATCTTTTGTAACACATAGCCGAGTTTAGCCAAGAGCTCGGCTGAGAGTGTCTCGATTTTCAAGACTTCAGTCGCCATGAAAGGCGTCAGCTGATCAGAATACCAGAGATGGTAAAGGTACTTGTTGTTTCCTTCGGCATATAATGCATCGAACTCTTTGGTACCGACAGAAATCTCATCACCCCATGGGTGCATTGTATGATGGTTGTGAGAGTTAGCCCCAGCATGATGACGGAATGGGTCATCAGCCACAGGGAGTGCGAAGGAGTAGACATCGGATGTGACCCATTGAACCACAAATTTGGAAGCCATATCAGATATTGCGGTGGAAGGTTCGTATAAAAGTGACCGCAGAACGCAAAGAGGACCATAGTGAATGTGAGATAGGGCTAGAGCAGGGGCTGATTTCCAGTATATATACCACCCGCTCCTAGGGATTTGCCAGTTTAGAGCACTATCCATATTATGAGTTGTCCGTCCTTGCTCATGGCTACCACCAGGGTTACCCAGGCTCTTTTCCCCTCACATAGTGGTCCGCCATCGAGAATCCCGTCACGTCGGAATTCCAAAAGCTGTATGAGGTTATGCCGCTGCCTGATGTCACCGTGTCAGCAAATTAATACATGAGACGTCATTGGCCACCACAATCAGTAAGGGAAGGCAGTGTGTCAGCTTTCAAGTTGTGTGACTTATCATCTATCCTTTTTCGTCGAGACGTACCCTCTGGCACACCGGGCGTCGTGTGATCAGCCACATATTCAATAACCAACCAAGCAGCCATCAGCGTTCACAAGCCTGTATCGATCAGTCCATGCTCACATACCAAATTAACCGGAAGCCCGCATGGTAGCTTGGACTTGTGCCGTTCCGCTTCCATCCTCGTAGTCAGGCGGAGCTGTCGTACCATCTCACTGCATGCGCGGGACTTGTCGAATTGGTGTTTATCTTTGAATCTCTACTTGATTGCTGAGGTCGGGCACAAGGCAAAAGTCAGAAGATCTACTACAGTATTAGAAAGACGGTGCATAAGAATAACTCCACTGTGTCAATAAAATCAGCGCTTCCAGATTTTCCGATGCCTTTTCGACTTTCGCTCCTGCAAAGTTTACGACCACGGACGTAACGTGTTGTATCACGGAACCTAAAGCTATCTGATAGGACTTAATCAACGGGGCCTCCTAAGCAATTGCAGTCATGGCTTTCCTCTTATCAAGTTAAGCAACTAATTTGAGAGAATGCTACTCACTGTTGCATTGGATTCTCTTCTTTTCACGCTATTTGGCAGCCATTTATCCAGATCGAGTTCCTCTGCAAACCAGTACGCAAACGAACCCCGCACCAAGCCATGCAGTATTTCCATTCGGATTTATACGCAGGAAATACCAATTCTCCCTTCAACTTTTGGACACCGATTTCGCACAATAAATTGTTGCTCAGCCTTGTTCGCATACAATGACTCAAATCAATCAACGCCAGGACTGGGAAGGGCCATTGAAGCTACTGCAAAAGCAGCTCTACGAGGAAGAACTCTGCCGTTTGCGGGAATGTAGATCTCTCGCTGTTTTTCAAGACCAGCTAGAAACACTCAAAGAGGATCGGGGAGCTCTCCAATTCGAAGGATCATGGAAGTTTCTCCAAACCGTGGTCAAGCGGCTTAGCCCTATAGTAGCAGCTGTTGAGTACGTTGCCCCTAGTCTAGGCATTCCTTCATGCATGTGGGGGGCCATGATTCTACTTCTTGATGTTAGTTATCCCTTGGTTTTCATTGCGTCTGAATGAACGACATTGCTAAAGTGGTATCATCTAGGCCGTGAGCTTGAGAAAGCAATATTTGGACACCGTTCTCGGGTACTACGATGGCTTAATTTCGATTCTGCCATGCCGAGAAAATCTCAAGTCGATAATGGCAGATAATCCAGAGCTTGAAGGGGTTGTGTTGAATTTCTACAAACACTACCTCGATTGTAGTGGGCAGTTTCTCCAAATGTTCTCTCCAAGACGATCTGTCGCCAAGCGTTAGTGGCACAATGAAGCGAAAAACTGGCACGTATCTGACTCGACATCATTTGACAGGGTTTTACCGGAGGGTTCTTTTTCTTCGTAACCTTTATGGGCTCTCAGATTCCATGAATGCTCTCAAGTCAGCGGCAGAAAAAGCTACAAAAGCATACCGAATCACCTCGGAGCAACAACGTCAAAATATTATACAAGAGGATCTGAATCAGATCAAATCAGCCGTCGAACAAATGAACCGAGATCCACCCCAAGAGTCTCTCAGCCGGCTTGCGTATGTTCGATCTAGCAGCTTCAGGCATACACTCCCCCCCAGCGGCATCACATTCACTGGGCGATCGGCAGAGTTGAAAGCACTACATACCTACCTTGGTCCTCTTACTGAATCAGACCATGACCAAACTCCTGGTCTGCGTTCTGTCGTTTTATGGGGCCTTGGTGGGATGGGCAAATCGCAGCTCGCATTAGCCTACGCCCATCAGCATAAATCTTCATACAAGGCTTGTTTCTGGATACAATGTGAAGATTTGGTCAACATATGCAATGGATTCATGAAGATTGCGAGAAAACTTGGTTATGAGCCTGCGGGCTTAGAGGCAGACGTACTAAGCGTCAAAAACTGGCTGGAGAACGAAGGTACTCGCGCAACAGGTTCCAAATATCCCGTACTTTCATTTTAAATACTGGCGCTAATATCTAGTCTTTTCGGGGCAGGAAAACAGTGGCTTCTTGTGTTAGACGGTGCGGACATGGGGCCAACCCCTGAGTTTCTCCAGCAGTACTGGCCATCGGGAGACGAGGGCTCCGTTCTTGTGACAAGCCAAGATAAACAATGGCAGATTTCCGACTATGTCCGCCACAACCTTGAAGTTTCCAGTCTATCTGAAGATGATGGACTTCAGTACATTAATCAGTTTATGAGGAATCACGGAAGGAGTGTTGGACCAAGAGAGGCGGCGACGATTCTTGCAGAGTCAGGCAGGCTGCCCCTGGCATTACATCAAATGCTTTCCTTCATGGTGACCGAGAGCCTTAGTGCAGAAGAGTTTTTGGACCAATTTATGAATAGCAGATCAGTGGATGACTGGGACATGTCGACATCGCGCAATCTGGCAACTTTTCTCAACCTCGCCTTCAAGAACCTCAACGATCCGACGAAGAAGGTACTCGAGAATTTATCGTTACTCGATGTCAATCGAATTCCTGGTTTCCTGGTGAAGAAAACGAAAGAACTTTTGGCTAGGTAAGTCAGCACCTGGATTAAGGCACAGAACCCTCGAAATAACTCAAGGAGCCGTCTAACTTACAACAGCGATGGCGCACAATTCAATCATTTGACTCGATACTCCCTCATAAACAAATCAAAAGATGATGGCGATTTCTACGAGATGCATCCGCAGGTCAAGAGACAAGTCATCCTGCGTATGCCCCCAGAACACCTGAAAGAAAGGGCACAGTGGGTTACCGGCCAACTTCGAGAGTATTTCCCTCGCCAGTCAGTCTTTGGCGCTGAACTAGACGACACAAATCCAAATTGCCCATCATTGATAGCACATGTACTAGCTTTTAAGACGACCATAAATCGTTACAACTGCGATATTCAAGATATCGAGAACCTTGCTAGCTTGTATCTAGATGGCGGCATCTACTCTTGGGCCCGTGGGCTACTCGAGGTCGGACGAGACCTCACCGACGCAGCAAGGACGCTGTGCGGAACAGGCAAAGTTTCTCTGTTCACCAAAGCACAGATATTCTCCTTCCATGCTTCCATCATCTCCGACAGTGGGAGACTCAGGGAGGGCCTCCGCGAATTCGAGTACGCACTCATCTTCAGCATGCGCTACGTTTCCGAAACGGAAGACTCTGAGCCTTCGGAGCCCCTAGCACTACTTTCAAATGCCTATAACAATGTGGCGGCAGCCCATAACCGCCTCGGCAATTTTGAGGAGGCTTCAAGGTACAACAACCAGGCCTTGAGCTTAAAGATGAGTTTGGAAGAACGCGGTCTTCCTATGTCCCACTCCCTCTGTCTAACATACCAAACGATGGCCTATACAAAAGCACAGCAAGGGGACATTGCGGGTTCAGTTTCGTGCTTTGAGAAAGCCATCGAATACGGCTCTGTGTCTGAAGAATCCATTCCGAGATTGGCATTGGCGCAACATAACTTCGCACATCTTAGGCTATTGGAGGGCAATCTTAAAGATGCCTGTGATCTATTCTTTACAGCTTGGGGAACCAGAGCTGAGAAACATGGCGACCACCCAGATACGGGTATTTCACAACACATGCTAGCTCATTGCTATCATAAATTGGGGGGAAAGGAAAACTTGGAGTTTGCTAGGTTTGCTCTAATCTATTTGAAGCCTCAAACAAGGCAGGCTTGACTGACATCACTCACTAGATCGTTATTGCAACAGGCAGTCGTACTGTTCGAGGAGCGACTTTCGGAACCCGACAATAAGAGATTAGCCTGGTCTCTGTTTAAGCTTGCGCTGGTTCAAGATGAACTTGGAGATCTCAAGGCTGGAGAGAACCGTATAAGGGCAGAGGAACTGTATTTCCAGGAAACGGGACATTCCGAAGTCACATTGACCGAGGATCTACTCAATGATTTAGTGCCATATATCTAACGTACTTTAAGGTAGTTAGGGATAGATGATATCGCGCCCTGCGCCTCCACCCCTTTAAACTTAAGCACGAAAAGAAAGAAAAACTCGGCACAATTACGTATATATCGAAAGATCATACATCACTATTGCAAGATTTGCTTCACAGATGATGTCGCTATATAAAGTGTCGCCGATTTACCTTCGTCGTCGTCTGAATACGTTACTCTTCTTCTTTTCTCGAGAAAGTAGAAAATTATGCACAGAATCCATGTTGATCTACGAGTCAAGCAGTGGAAACGCGTTTTCTCAGCTGCATGCACCGTGAAAACCGGGGGAGGGGGGACGTCATAGGATTCCGGCGAAGCCCAGAGCCTACATGAACTCAACCCATCCCATGTCACTGATACGCGGCTTGATTTCCTCTGCAATTCAAAAGTCATTGACACCCTCCTTCCTCTTTCAGCAACACACCCGCATAAAGTCTAGTTGCTGCCACACCTGCTGCAGAGTCCCTTAGACCCGATGGTAGCCTCGCTAAGCCTCAATGTACAGGGTCATTTGGACTCCCAATACATTTCATTCCGAAGTGCACGCTGGAACTTTCTGAAGACCCTTCGCTTCTCCCTCCTACTTAAGAATGGTATCTTTTCGAAGACAGAATTCGGCAGCAACCGCCCAGTCTCTCAAAATTCGTTCGCAGTTTGTTCCGCAGGAGCACCTATCTATTTCCGTGAAATGGATACACAGGAAGACCATGAAACACTAGGGAAGATCGGATACCTGAAGCGGCTTGAACTCTATGGAACAGAAAAGCCGTATCAAATAACGGTCCGCCCGAAGTATGTCCAAGACTCGGACGCGCAGAAGACAAACATTGTTATCGATCCACAGGTCGTCAAGATTACTGATATCATTAATCGACGGGGTGAATTTAGCACGGATATTCAGGGTTTCGAGCTCGCCACTTTTCCCAGTTCATTATCCTCTGATGAACTCCAGGACTTAGACGAGATTGAGTCTCGTTACTATGCCGAAGCCAAGGAATTTCTCATGCGAAGATATAATGCTCACAGAGTGCTCATATTCGATACGACGGTATGCTCAGTCTGTCGTTCATCCAAGATATCAAGTGTAACGCAATATAGATTAGACGCTCGAAACCAGGTCGCAACACGGACACTACCCTCCTCAAGAACCAACAAATTCTAGGGCCATCCATTGACTGTCATGTCGGTAAGTCACCCTAGACTGTCTCCCAAACCTGCTCGAAAGATCTGACTTTAACGACGTGACTCTCCGTAGATCAAAGCCCCAATAGCGTTCGCAAGAGAGTGAGGAAGAACTTTCCTAATGACGCAGACCAGCTATTGGCTCAGCGCGTGCAAGTGGTCAAGTAAGCTGATCTAGACCAGCCCGCGTCTTTAGATCTGACAGACCCTATCACAGCATATGGCGAGCTCTCCGCTTCCCATGTCAAATCCGTCCTTTGGGCTTGTGCGACTACAGATCGACCAGACCTGGAGACTATACACCAGCTGATCTTGTCTCATCCGTTTGGGAAGGCGAGACATTGCAAATTTACCACAACCCTAACCACGAGTGGTGGTTCGCCAGCAAGATGGAAGCGGACGACGTGCTTCTCATCAAAATGTTTGACTCTGAGGGAGAAAGGGAGGGTAACGAAACGGCCATGTGTGAGTACCTTCTAGAATTCTTCTTTTCCATGAGTCAAGTTCTGCTTCTGGTATCGAGTCTTGCGGTCTTACCTAGCATGCACGTGGTTCGATATTTTCTAACAAGCACGCTTCGCAGGTACACCTCATTGCTCTTTCGACTGGGAAGACGCCCCTGAGGGATCGCATGGGCGAGAGAGCATGGAAATCAGAGCAATTATATTTTCTGAACTCTAGGAAGCTTGAGACTTTCAACTTTGGGTAATAATAGAAAGCTCCACACTCATTTGATTGAAACGAATTCACTGTGCAATTTCCAGAAGACTTTATGATATTAATGAGAGTTTTGATATCTTCCCCCTTTCCGCTGCTATCAAGTCATAACAATCTTCTTGGACAACACATGGATTAGAGTAAAGAGTGTTTCTCCATGAAAGAATGTCACGGATAAATTTCATTCCTATCAATATGCGACACGTCCTCGAACCAAGCTTCGTATGGTGCTGAGTATCTAATTTGATTAATCATTGATGGGATGCAGGGTAAGGTGTTAAAACTCACTTGAATCAGCCGGCCTTGTTGACGAAGTCATCGTCGTCGTCTTCATCATCGTCGTCGTCCTCATCAGGATTGGGCTGCTTCGGCTTCGCAGCATTACTCTCCTTCTTGGCGGCTATCTCCGCAGCCTTCCGACGAGCTTCGAGCTCATCCTTTACCCATTTCTTCCACGGCTGAGATCTCTGGTCTTCATTTGGGTTGCTAGATACCATGTTGCGTGATGATGTTGAAATATTCAAGCTGACAAAGTTTTAGGGGCGAAGTTTTGATGCAAGACCGCGAAACATTGGCGCTTGAGAGTTTCACAGCCTCGAAAACAGGCCCCGAGGCTTAAGTATCCCTCTGTGTGGTATCATGCTCATAAATAGATCAGAATGCCTTGAGAGCTCTCTTCCAGCATCTGGCCAACATCACGCTCCGAGCTGTTTGCCGATGGTATGCGTTAATGCATCCTGCTTTTGCCATCCTTCCGTATGCACGGGAAGATGTTGGAACACGTAGCCTGGTGGTTGTGGGTGTTGTGTCACCACACCGCTCGGCGAATCTGACACAAAGCTACATCGAGAAGGTCATCATATAATTTCATCGGGCGCGGGTGAAACAGACCACAGCTATCTTGTATGGCTGTTCTAGGTTCCTGCAATTGATCTCAATCAACCACACAGTCTCTGATTGGTGAAGCGTAACTGACAGTCTTCTTTCATTGACTGGAGCCCCGCACACCTTTTACGGCAGTAATGTCACACTGTGGATGCGTGTGCCTTCGGGCATTTGGGACAATTTGAGGGGATGGAATATTCGCAGCCTGCCTTGAATGTGCATCAGGACTGAGATATCATAACTGCAGCCAGCTGGTTGTCAGAAACTGTGATCCAAGCCTTGGAATAATTTCGTCTGATTGGATGGCTGACATACCCGAACTGCATGCTCCTTCCATTGGGGTCAAGTATAGGTACTTTTATGAACACACAGCAATCATTCCTCTGAAGCCAAGGTATGCACAGGCAGCCACGCAGCCTGATTATCTGGTGCCACCTGCCTGTCTTACAATTCACAACAAATATTCCTGTAAGAGGCAATACCTACCTACCCATCATTGGGACATTCCCCTCCTTCTCACGCAGACAATGATTTTCGACCGCACCAAACGCAAGGTTCTGAGTGGCAATCCCGACCCCGTCCAAATTCTCACCCTCTCCTGATCTTTCGTTAACAAGACTTCTTATGTGTGACCTTTTCGGCCGCCTCTTTCGTCCCCTGCAGGGCTCTAGCAGTAGCTACCCTCAGCGAGTTCCCGCAACCATGACCGCGAAAATCGAGGAAGTGATCCGGTCACGTCTTGGCGTAGTGGAGGAAATACTGGAAATCACACATCAGCCTGCTTTGTCGATGGGCGTCATCCATCATGGGAAAGAAGTCTTTAGACACAATCGGGGCATTATCAACAATGAGACTGGCCAAACACCAGACAGCGATACTCTGTACTGCATTGCATCCCTTTCGAAAGCGTTCGTTTCTGCCGCTATAGACATTCTCGTCCAACGTCAGGAGCTGAGTTGGGACACAACAGTGGCCCAAGTTCTTCCAGGGTATGGTCGATATGATCAAGATGCAATGCTCAATGGCATGACGCTTCGAGATATCTGCTCTCATCGGACTGGCCTTCATGGTCTAGACGAGATAATTCAGGGTATGGACGGGCGTATCCTCCTTCCGAAAAGCGAGGTTGTCAATGTCGTCAACGCCCTGCCCAAAAAGTTCGGATTTCGGACAGACTTCCACTACAACAACGCCCTATTCGAATTGGCCGGTGCAATAATTGAACGGATTTCTGGATCCCAGACCTGGGGACACTTTCTCAAGGAAGAGCTGTTCGACCCACTAGAGATGAAGCGGACAACGGCCTTTCGCAGCGTCCACAAGACCGACGACAACATTGCTACGCCATACATGTGTCTGACAGACGGCTCGCTATGCAAAATAGCCCCCACCGAGCTATCTGCGGATTCTATGAACGGTGGCTCTGGAGGACTCCGCAGCTCCGTGAATGATCTGCTCAAGTGGTGTTCCAGCCTGTTGGCATCCTTTGATGAGAAAAGCACCGCCAACCCCATTCGTCACAGATCACCAATCTTTGATCGCGCCAATATGGCCAATCCGAGCTCTGTTGAGGATGGCGACTACTGCACCGGGTGGTGCTATCACCAAACCCCCTCAAAGCTGGGATTAATCTCCCCTAATCGAAGCCTGCTCTCACCAGTTCTCGGGACCAATTCTGAATCCTTACTCGTCTACGGCCATCAAGGCGACGTTCCCGGGTATACGTGTTCCTTGTATCTTATCCCAAAGACTCAGTCTGCTATTGTCGTCCTATCCAACGGTACTGGCCTCTCTGACGCTACCGACTGGATTGCCCAGGATATCCTCCAGGCGATGTACAGCCTGAAGCCAACCGTGGATTTTGTCTTCACTGCGCATCAGGCATCCATTCTATACAAGACCACGTTCAAGAGGCTGTTTCAGTTGCCTCTCGAGGAACATAGAAAGATGGGTACGCCTACTCCGCCCTTGGACGACTTCACTGGGGAGTATGTAATGGAGAACCTGGACATCGCCACTCTCAACATCAAAGCTGGCCCGGAAACCTCATCAACTGGTCTTCGAATGAGAGTCAATGGTCTCGCGGACCAGGAGTACTACTTGTGGCATTATCATGCGGACGTATGGTGTTATCTTCCGGAGAGCGCTGACCAATGTTTGAGACGTGGTCTCGACAGAAGTGACTGGACCTCATACCTTATCTCATTTCAGAGGGATGCAGAAGGTCAAGTCGAGAAGTTGGGATGGGATATGTGTGGTGTGAGTGTTGTTTTCTACAAACGAAAAATGAGATTATGGGAGCACTGTTGAATCTTGATGGATGGTGAGAGAATGGAATATGAAGCTGGTGACGGGAAGCAAGGATGAAAAGGCGCAGCAAAGGCCGTAGTTACGTTAGTTAACTTCAATTGACAAGATAACCGCCCAAGCCGGGATATCGATCTATAGCTTCTATACACAACTCTCGCCAGAACAACTCCCATGACCCAAAACGCCATCTAAACCATCTTCTATCCTTTGATCTGAAGTGACCAAGTCTAAATTCGAAGAACAGCAATACCGGAGATAGTGCGATTATCATCAGAGAAGATCTTCTTCTTCTCAGATCCATCCACATTGCAGCGATAAATGCTGCCGCCAAGATCGCTGAAGTAAACATGTCCGTTCTCCTGGTCCAGCTTGACACCGATCGCCTCATTGAGATGTCTCACCAAGATCTCATACTTCTTGGACCCCTCAGACAGCAACAACAATCCCGTCATAGGATCGATATTCGCCCGGTTGAGCGTGTTGCCCTTGGGAATCTCTCCACGGTCAGTCCAGAAAATAGTATGTGTCTCCTCGTCAACTTCCAAGTCAATCGGCTCTGGCAAGTCGCTAAGGAAACACTCGATATCGTCTCTCGTCTCAGCCGTCTTGCCCGCCGGCATCTCAATGTTCGCGCAGAAGATGCGGCCCTGTCCGGACTTTGGCGCGCCCTTTTGGGTCCAGTAGAACTTGCCCAGCTTCGGCGCGACGGAGATACCGACGCACCAGGTCTTCAGATCCGAAGCGTCGTTGCCACCAATGACGAGTATCTCGAGGTCGCTTCCGTCGAGGTTGGAGCGGTAGACTTTCATACCCTCGCGGTCGCAGAAGTAAATCTTCTTCGAGGCCGGTTCGATGACGAGTTGTTTGGGCGTGTTGATGGTGCCGGGCTCGAAGAGGGACTTGACGTCTGTACCATCGATGTTCGAGGATAGGACGGCGCCGTCTTGCTTGCCTGGTGTACCCATGCACGTCCAGATCATGCGCTGAGTGTCGTTGGCGTCAATGTCGATGCCGTCGGGGACGTGTTGCCGGTCGACCAGGACGCGCTCTAGTTTGCCCTCCGACGAGAGCTGGAGGACTTGTCCGGAGGCTGAAGCGTCGTTTTCGTTCGCCAAGCCGAGGTCGAGGGCGACGATCTTGGGGAGATGGGGGTAAAGACCACCCTTTGCTGACTTGTTGCCGAGACGGCCCTTGGAGATGTACTCGCGTTGCAGGAAGTCGACTGTGTTCTCGGGAGACAGGCCGCGCTCCTTGACGTAGTGGTCTTCGATGAAGGCGACGGTGTCGAGACCGACCTCTGTGATTTCGTTAGCTGCTTGATCTGCGGAAAACTTGCGTATGAATGCAAACTTACCGTCCATCATCGTGCAAGGACCCTTGCCGTGTTTGCTGAGTTCGTAGAATAGCGTATCAATCTCCTCGGGACTCGACACGCCTTCAGCGAGAATCGACAATGTCTCTCTCTTAATCGCAGCCCACAACCGGTTGAAAACAAAGCCGGTAGACTCCTTGCGCGCAGTAAACGGTCTCGTTCCAACCTCCTTCTGCCTCTCCGTCATGAAGGGGAAGATCTCCGGGCTCGTGAAGCCGTCCGTCATCAGCTCGACGACCATGTTGTGTGGGGGCATGTAGTAATGTGTGTTCATGATGCGTGTCTTGGTCTCATCCCTCACTTTGCCGAGCATTTCTGAAGATCTGTACGACGAAGAGTTGCTGGCGAGGATGGCGTCTGCGGGGGCGTGAGCCTCCAAGTCGGCAAAGGTGTCTGTCTTGATTTGGATCCGCTCAGGGACGGCTTCGATTACGAGCCAGGCGTTCGCGACTGCAGTTTCGAGGTCGGTAAAGACTTGAACGGTTCCGGGGCGCTTGCGGCCTGATGCTGGGTATGTGTCGACATTTTGCTTAACGTAGTCCAGGCAGGGCTGGTATTGCTTGAGGTCGGGCTCGCGGACCTGGACGTTGTAGCCGCCGGATGCCCATGTGCAGGCTGATATGGTACGTCAGGATATCATTCAAGAAGTGTGCTCAGGAGTGAACCGAACTTACCAATGCGACGGCCGAGTACGCCGCCTCCCAGCACAGCAACCGGGCGGTCGCCGTAGTTTGATGGTAGTGAAGTCATTGATGTGTTGGAAACGTCAGAGTTGAGAATTAAAGTAAGGGTTCAGGGTCTAATGATGTAAGATCTACAGTGCAGAATGATACATCAGAAAAGCCAAGACGGCAGATGAACTTATATATGCATCAAAGACAGGGTTGCAGATCAGTCTAGAAGCTAGAGAAAGCTTTCGTCGAACATTTTGGCGGAGCACATCGTCATTCCCCTGAGCGCTCGCAAGTCGCCGAGGTTGCCGGAGACCCATCAAGTCGGTCATCGTGGGTCCCGATAACGAGCCTGCAATCCTTAGTAAGTGGTCTTGAGCGGTCTGGTTGGTGGCGCGAAGCAAACAGCAGAGGGATAAACGCATTGACGGCTGTGGGTATGACGCAAGTTTCGATGATGGGCCTTGGACTATGAATCGGGTTTCGGTGCCGATCGCGGGTCGGTGTCGCCGGTACAGGATCCACTTTAATATTGAAAACGTTGATTTCCCATATGGAAGTCAAAAGGCCCATTGAGGTGTCGAGAACAACCTGGATGATGATGGGACCAAGCTATGATAAGAACAACGTCAATTCCGTCTTATCATAATGAGCGCGAAACAGCGAGATTGAGCTGCTTTACGAGCAGACGCTACCTTTGGTTTGGGAAAAAGAGTTACATCTCAAATCCGTCACCTCGGCACTTGGTGGGGCGGGCCCGTTCTTTTAGTTCCGGCCTCGGCAGCCGCAAGCTTGTAAAGTGGGCCCGTCAGCTCCCGGCCTCGGCAATTCCAAGAATATCTGTCAGGGTCCGCATCGGTCTCGCTCTGGATGGAAGGGGTCTCTCTGAAAGTGCCGTGCGACGTGGGGGCAGTTTGAATTATTTCCGATCAGGTGCGGCCCTTATTCCGTTGCTTGCGGTCTGTCCCGATTCGAAATACATCCCTATCCTCCCCGGATTCCGTTTACTTCGGTGTTCAGCAGCATTTCTGCTTTTGACCTCCACACGGCTTGCCTTCGAATGAACTCAAGACACAGGGAACCTCAAGCGAAGTCATGGTCATCTTGCGCTGTGTCAAGCAATGGCCTGGGCTTAAAATCACGGTCGACCAATCTTAGCTGCTCATCAAGACATTTCCATCAACCGCAAGAAATCATCATGAATCCAGTTTTCAACGAAAGGCTCAATAAGGAACTCTTGATTTTCACTATAGCGTCATCTTCTGTAACCAGTGAATACAATGTCTCAACCATTTTCCGCACGCTTTAGTACTCTCAGACTTGCTCATCGTCATCCTTCGCAATAGGTCCCTTGGTGATGGATCCAGTCTCCCCCGCCTCAGCATTGAGCACACGCCGCTTTTCTTCCCTATGCGTGAGCAGGGTGAGCCCACTAGTCCAGACAATCAAGGCAATCGAGCTGGCGATCATGGCCCACATGCCCCTCTGCAGTCCCAAATATCAGCACACGTTTCATTCCCAGCAGTCTGGTTCTCGAACCCTCGCCGGGCAGAAAAAACAAGAGGGTTACTTACGGTAAACCATGGTGCCATTGAAGCGCCGTAGAAGATGATGCTCCACCACGCGTTGACGGCGTTACTGCCCAGATTCATACCCGCGAGAACGACGCCGCGGAAGATGCCCTCCTCGTACCTCATCGCATCATTGCACCATGCGAAGAACGTTGCCTGGCAAGCATACACAGCACCAGCCCAGTAGTACGCGCCAAACACGACCGATGTCGACGCCGCGCTCGTCGGGTCCCTGGCTGCAACCAGTACCATCGCAGACGTCGCCACACCAGTGATGCCGATGAAGTACGCGACGAGATACCGCTTCCCGCCTAGGAAATCCGTCAAAGTCGCCCAGAAGAGCGTCGAGACGATGCCGACGGCGGGTACGCCGGTGGGATAGTTGTTGAGCTGTGTGACAGTGTACTTGTGCGTCGGGTGGCTCTTCATGTACAGACCCAACAGGGAATTCGTGCTAAAGGACTCTGTTTCACCGGCAATGATCCAAAGCATGACGAAACCCCACCAGTACCACGACGTGAGCACTTTCTTAGCGAAACGGAACGTCAGCGGCGAACGCTCCTGGATCTCGGGCACGCGGGACCGCGCCAGGACCTTTTCCTCTTCCGTGAAATAGAAGGCCGTTGTCGTGTGCGGCGTATCGGGGAAGCACACGAAACCGTAGATCGCGACGGGTACAGTCATCAGTCCGTCAATGATGAAGAGCCAGCGCCAGCCGGAGAGGCCGTGCAGACCGTTCATGCTGCTGTGGATGCCCGTCTGAATGAAGCCGCCGAAGAAGGTGCCCGCGAGGCCGGAGGCCGTGAAGATGCCGCTGCGCTTGCCGAGCTCGCGCTCCGTGTACCACGCGCCTAGGATGTAGTGCGTTCCGACAAAAGTCGAGGCCTCTGCTATGCCTTGGAAGAAGCGGATGGCCATGATGGATTGCGGGCTGTGCACGCTAGCGGTGCACATTGTCAGGCCACCCCAGATGATCATCATGAGGGGAAACCAGATGCGCGGTTTGACGTAGTGCAGGGACAGGTTGGATGGGATTTGTCCGATAACGTAGCTAGTTGAGGTGTCAGTCGTTGTCAGGGAGCAGTGAGAGGTGCAGTCCGATGATATTCTCTTGGCTTACCCGACTGTGAAGCATGTATTGATCTCGTTGAGCTGGTTCCCCACGAAGCCCAGCTCCTCCTTCATACCGGAAACGTATGCATTGTTCAGATTGGTACGGTCAAGCTAAAAGGACCTATTAGAAAATTTGTGCTCATCACGAACACCAGCAGAAATCTGGGAAGAGGCATTGACTCACGTAGTTGACCAGGTAGCTCAAGCAACAAAACGTCAAGATGAAGAAGTCAATCTTGGAAACGAGCTTCTTCTCCCCTGGTTGATACTGCACATTCAGATATTGGCGGACTTTCTCGAAAGCCATGTTGGGCAATGGGTTCGGCAAGTTATACTGCAAGGAACCAAGCCTCTGTAAAATCAGCGAATCAACTGATGGATTGCCAATTGAAGGGATGCGGTGACAAGTCGAGCAGCTCAAGCACACCGTTCACCGTGATAGATGCACCCGAACGCTGACCGACGTGAAGTTCTTATGGGAATTGCAACCGTAGACTGTTTGCACCCCCTTGCCAGCAGTTCCCAAGCTGCCAAAGACCTAAGCTTGACACTTATCGCGGGCCGATATCTCCCAAGAGATAAGAAAATGGTCACAGGAATAAAGAGCAGGGATCTTGCGATAGGGCTGGTGTTGTTTTTCCCCCGTACGGTAATCGAGACCGGGGATAATCAGCGTCACAGGAACCGTTTAGGCGTTCTTTGACATCCTGTTTGAGTATGGTTTCTTATCTCAATGGCTTTCGCTGTGTAGGCGATCGGTGTTTACCCGACTCAGTTGAGCTATTGTCGGCTCCCTGTGTTGGTCGGCTCTTGTCGCAAAGCGTTGTGATTCGATGTCCCTGTTGCACTGTGAGCAACCAAGGTGCCGTTATCGAATGCTGGAGATCGCAGGCACCCCGCAACGAACCAGAATGGAACGATAAGCTCACAGCTCTCTCCGGAGACGTCGTCCGATGGTTGTCCGAGAGGTTTAGCCAGAAGCTAGGAGGCTATAGTTCAGCCTCTTCAAAACACGCTGGATACGCCCTGGATGTGGTCGCGATAGTTCAGACGCGACGATGTGGTGTTGCGTAGTGCTTCACGTCGTGGTGGCGAGCGTTTGCGATGGCGGCCGTGAAATTGAATGCGTCGATGGAAAGGCTCGGCGATATCGATTTGAGAGAATTTTACGTAGGGCTAAGGCTCTTTTAGACGCGTCCCACTTTGCTAGAGCGCGTTCTCAATTGACTTTTGAATACCTGATGAAGAGAAGTTCTAGAATTGAACTCCACCGTCTTATTCGAGAACGCCTTGAGCATCTACGATCGTACATGTACTATCCGTAGGTTTTACCAGTGCTGCGGGAAAAGAAACCCGGCAGCGATCCTCACGGTCACATGGCGGCGTTTATTCCGGTGCGACAGCGGAGCTAGCTCATTAGGTTCAATCTGAAGACACTGGCTGTCTGCGTCATGGACCATAATGAGCAGCACCCGAATCGCCCTCCCGCGTTACACGGGGCGTTAGCTCAACTAAGGTCACCACTGTTGGCGGTTTCTTTGATTGATTGTAGAGAGCTGGCACGCGCGGGGAGGACGACTTAGCGTCCTTTCCAAGACTAGGGGGCAGTCCACACTCTAGCATTGCCCCTCCATGAACGTGCTTCGAAGGATGTCTTTACCCATGGGGCCGTACTGGAAAAGTACCCGCTTCTACGCAGTAGAGCTCATCGAAACAAGTTGACTTTGTACAGGCTTGACAGCCTGTGGTCAAGCTTATCAAGGTGAATTGAGTTGGTGGTCGAAGTCTCCGCACGCCGTCTCAACATGAATGTTCCCCGGCTGTCTTATCTGTCGAGACAACAGCCCCCTCGCAACACCACAGTCCCCGCGGATCCGAACTGACACTGTGACCCGTCACTTTGGTCACTCTCCTCAGATCTCGGGCGATGCACCCCGAATCAAATCACCGATGACCGGCGGCGCTGGGCGGTTCGTTCGCGCCATATCGCTCCTAGACTACGAATGTAAGTAGTACTTAGGCCACCAGTAGCCGTTGCTGGTCTTATTTAACAGTTCCGGAGCCGAGCTTGATCTGTCTAAACTCAACTTGTGAAGAGGCTATCGTTTTCCCTGACCACCTGGTTATCTTATCGTACGCGGACCAAAGAGACATCCTCATACGAAACTATCTCAGCCAATAGGTATTTTACTATGGGAAGCATTAAGACCGAGACATGGGAATTGGCAGCCGCCAAAAAACGAGAGTCACTCGCGGCAGCACTCCCCTCAGAATGGCTTGTTCCCAAGAACCTACTTCCTCCGGATTCCCAGGACGACGTCACATCGTGGCCCGAGACTTCGGGCTGGTTCACAGAGAAAGAGCTCGCCATCACGAACAGTGACGCCGCCGATCTGATCCCCAAGCTCGCATCCGGAGAACTCAAGTCGGTAGAGGTCACAAACGCTTTCTGCAAGAGGGCCGTTGCCGCTCATCAATTGGTGAGTACCCCTCTCCTCTCCTCCGCCTGACTCTCTTCACTTGCAGGTGGGCTCTTCACTCACAAGTAAACTAGACAAACTGCCTCTCTGAAACGTGTTTTGACCGCGCACTCGCAACAGCAAAAGCCAGAGATGAGTACCTCGAGCGCACTGGAAAGCCCATCGGGCCCTTCCACGGCTTGCCCATCTCCCTCAAAGACAACTTCAATCTCAAGGGGCTTGATGCCACCGTAGGATTCGTTTCTCACATTGACAACCCCGCCGAGTACGACGCTGCCCTAGCCACGCTGCTGGAGGAGGCCGGCGCCGTCTTTTACGTCAAGACCAACGTGCCGACGGCGATGATGATCGCGGAATCGGTCAATAATGTCTTTGGCCGGACGGTGAACCCGAGAAACAGGAATCTTACTAGCGGTGGGAGCTCCGGTGGAGAATCTGCGCTTATTTCGTTCAAGGGCAGTCCGCTTGGTGTCGGAACGGATATCGGTGAGTCTTAGATCACTCCAACTCTGGCTGTTGCTTGAACGAAGGCCGGACGCTGATTCTCTCATTCGTGAAGGCGGTTCTCTCCGCATTCCCGCCGCTTGCACCGGCATCTTCACCCTCCGACCATCCTTCGGCCGCTTCCCCACCTTAGGTTGCCGCTCCGGCATGGGCGGCCAGGAAGCCGTCCAATCTGTCAACGGCCCCATGACCCGAACCATTACCGATCTCGAACTCTACAGCAAAACCGTCGTCAACCAAAAGACCTGGCTCCACGACCCGCGCTGCGTCCCGATTCCGTGGCGCGAGGTGCAACTTCCTTCGAAGCTGAAGATTGCAGTCATGTGGAACGACGGCATGGTCAGGCCCACTCCGCCCGTCACACGCGCGCTCAAGGCGACTGTCGAGAAGCTGAAGGCCGCTGGTGGCGAAATCGAAATTGTTGACTGGGAGCCCGTTGACCACAGGCAGGGGCTGACTCTGTTGGAGCGCATGTTTGTCGCTGACGGCGGTATCTCCATTCAGAAGGAGCTTGAGAAGTCCGGGGAGCCACTCAGGCCCGAAATGGCGGCGTACGGGACCGCGAAGGAGCTCGGGACGTACGATATGTGGCAGCTTCACCTTGAACGCACCGCGTTCCAGAAGCGATATCTCGACCGGTGGACCGCGGCTGGGATCGATGCGATTCTGTGCCCCACAACGCCATTTGCGAGTGTGAAGAGCGGAGGCTTCAAGCATGGTGAGTTTAAAGATCATAACTACCTCTATGTCTTGTCTTGAGGGATTGTTCTGACCCATGAACTTACAGTTGGATACACGGGTGTTTACAATGTCCTCGACTACTCTTGCGTTTCCTTCCCGACTGGCTTGACAGCAGACCAAAGCTTGGATACGCCTCTCGACTCCACAGAAAAGCCACTCAGCAAAGACTGTGAGGCTATCCACGCCGAATGTAAGTCACGTTTGTATTTCTATAATCAAGGACCAACATGGCTAATGTTTCCTACGCAGACGATGCCGCGACAGTACATGGCATGCCCATCAGCCTGCAATTGGTTGCTCGGCGGTTGGAAGAAGAGAAGGCGATAGCCATGGTCAAACATGTTCTTAGCGTGATCTGATACTATCAAGCAAGCTTTGAATAGAAATAATTTTAAGTATCACGGATTGTGTGTGTTCTAAATAGTGGTCCACACAAGCCACGAGACCTTCTAACGAGACGAAGTGCGTCCTTCTCTATTATGATACACCTGCAACGCTCATCATTCGTGTACCCAAGCCGTCTAAATCGTCTTTCACCTTTCTATTTCACCGCGTAGCTGACCTTTGACTTCCCTTTACTCCTCGAAATCTTCTTCACGACAGTTTCCCCGCACAAATCCGTCGTGTCGACATGCGTACCACCGCAAGGATACACCTCGGCGCCCACAATCTCCACAACGCGAAACTTCTCCCCGGGCGGCGCAAGACTCCGGTCCGGAATCAGCCTCTCGAGCCCCCGCGCCCGGAAATCGTCCTCGTCCCAGAAATCGACCTTGACCGGCATCTTGGCCGCCAAGAACTCATCCACCTTGCCCTGGATCGGCTCCTTCCATTTCCCATCAATGAGGCCCTGGAACTCGCATGATGCCGAGTCCGGGAAATGCGACGCCTTGAGCTCGTCGAAGCCCTCGACTTCCTTCTCGAGGAGGTGCCGTACCGCTGCGCCGAGGACGTGTCCTGCTGTGTGGAGGCGGGAGTACAGCAGTCTCTTCTCGACGTCGATGGCTTGCTCTACCTCGTCGCCCTCTTTAAATACCGCGTCTCCGTTGAAACGTCCGAAATGTAGGACTTGGCCGTCGCGTACGGCGTCCATGCGTACAGAGTTGACGGCGAAGGAGGAGCCTGCGGTGGCGGTCATGGAGCCGATGTCGGAGGGCTGGCCGCCGCCTTGGGGGTGGAAGATTGTTTGTTCCGTCACGACTACGTGATCTTGGTCGCTTCCATCTTTGAAGAGTCCGCGATTGGCTTCTTCGAGGTCTGCAAAGGGGCGGATGGCGGTGACGATGGTCTTGAGAGTGGTGAGTTTTGCGTTGTGTTGGAAGGCCAGGTATGTTCTGGCTGCTGCTGTCGATGCCATCGTTGTGTCTGTGTCTGTATCTATGTATGAGGCCTTTCTGTTCCGAAGGCGATCTGAGAATGAAACTGTATGAGACGATTTCAACGTCTGGATAAGCGCCTATGATAGCTCTATAGAACTGGTGAGTAATTGCGATGTCTCTTCTTCTTGGCTATTCTAACCGGTTCTATAGCCGGCGGGTTGACATGAAGGGCGCGAGTGATGATGAAATGTGGTCCGAAAGGC